TGCTCAGGCTGGTTTCGAACTCCTGAGCTCAAACAATCCGCCCGCCTCGGCCTCCCAGAGTGCTAGGATTACAGGCATGAGCCACCGCGCCCGGCCGGAAACTATGTCTTTAACAGGACACACAGGCATTATCAGAAAGGAGAAGACTGATTGTTTGGACTACTTTAAAATTAGGAATGTCTGTTATACAAAGTCACCTTTAAGAGTTTAAAAAGGTATGCTATAGAGTGGGAAATGATATTTACAATACATATAAGTGACAAAGCATTTATATTCAGAGTAGATAAAGAATTCCTGCAAATTAATAAGAAAAAGACAGCCTAATAAAATAAAGGAAGAGTCTTGAATAGTCACTTTATCAAAGTATGAAAAGTTACTTAATTTCATTACTCATCAAGGAAATGCAATTTTAAATCAAAATAAGATTCTATTGTATACTCACCAAAATGGCTGAAATTTCTAAAAAAAAAGATTCACAATACTAAAAGTTGGTGAGGGTACAGATTAAGCAGGGCTCTCATACATTGTTGGTGGGAATGTAAATTGTTCTATCTAATCTGGAGAACTAAAGAGTATATCCATATCCTGTTACCCAACAATTTCATTCCTATTTAGATACACAGCAGAAATGTGTGCTCCACGTGTAAACCAAAAGGCTCAAATAAGACAGTCTGTAGCGGCATTGTTTATATTGGCTCCAATTTGGAAATAGCACGAATGTCCATCACTGGTAGAATGGATAAATAAATTGAAGTATGTTCATAGACCAAGATACCACATCGCAATAAAAGAATGAATTAGAGCTACACACAGCAACATGAATCTTACTATTTCATTGAAGTAAAGTTAAAAATATGCATAAGTAATCTGTGGTGTTAGAAGACACCTTTGGATAGGAGCAGTGGGGTAGTGATTGGGAAGAGGTACAAGGACAATGTTAGAGATGTGGGTAATGTTGAGATCTTGGCCTGTGTTGTGGTTACTTGGGTGTGTTCATGTGGTGATAACTTCTCAAGCTTTGCACTTATGCTTCTGAAAGTATGTTATGCTACAGTTTAAACCACTTCAGTGAGATAAATATGGATAAATTTCTTTGTCCTAAAATTCTCTAAAATGTTAGGAAAATAGGTTCACTTAAGAATATACATACTATTTATGGATAGCTCTGTGTTTTTTCTCTAATGCTTCTCCAAGTGATAACAAAGAATATTTGATTTTTTAAATTAGAATTTATGCACTCGGAATCACTCATGCTTTGATGCCAATATTGTTTATCTCTTATTTTTTTATTTCAATTCATGCTGCAGGACTCTTACCCTCATCTTAATTAATAAATAGGTTAACTTATTTGTAATGTTGACACTATTCTGTAGTAAGTAAAAGGACATATTTTGTTAGCATACGTTTTAGCTGTTTGTAGTAAATTCTTTTTTTTTT